CTAAAATGATATACCAAAGGAACAAGACTTAAAACATGAAAACACATCTTGCTACACTTAAACAGAAGAAAAACAACAACTCTTTGCACTTGAAAAAACACACTTATTCTATTTGTAGGTAATTTTACTTGCCAAGTTGCATCTACTCAAATAAAAGGCTTTGTGCACTTGTGGACAGGTAAGACTTTGTAATTTTCCATTCTTTTCTCCACAATACAGGAGAGTCTTCGTCATAGCTTTTTCCCCACTGTGGAGAGTCTGTTAACACCTGTCTCCCCTTTTTGCGATCCGAGAGCTTTTGTTCACACACAAACTGGACCTATATTTGAAATGCTTTAACAGCGTGCCCTCCTGACCCCTCCCCGGGCTAACAGCTCTGGGGCAAACACCAAACGCCAGGTCCGGAGTCTAGCCCTTATCTCTGTGTGTGCTTCATCCTGTTTATCTGATGACCGCAGGCTGCTCCACGGACGATACAGAGGAGAGAGGGGAAAGAGGAGATTACTGCTTTTATCCACATGAGAGTTTAATGGCGCAAATAAAACACTGCAAACTCAAGCAGAGAGAATATGGGTTAATTACAACTGTGAGGGACTGCTGGCTGCGTAGTAGCGCTACTAGGCAATAAATATAATGTATAATGCAATAACGATACCATGAGCAATATCTTAATAGTAACTTTGGCTCCCGCTGCGACGAAAGAGCAGGCATTTTAAAATGTTGTTTGGATACACAGTTATTTGGCTGGGTCATTTAAAGTTGATGTATTATTGTAGTGCTTTGTCACAATGGTGGAAAAAGGTAAGACTTTCACACAGGGAAGCATGCAAATGCTCCACAGGCCTCTCCTAAACTGGGAATTGAACCCAGGACCTTCTGGCTGTGTGGCAAGAGAGAGCCTCATGAGGTTACAAGATTATTTTATTTTTGTCAGATCCAAACATAAATTTCACTGCGTCTTGAAACAGACCGTACAAAGAGATATAACAATGGTCAATACAGTGAATCATTCAAAACACTGCCCATATTAATTTATTTTATAAAATCATAGACCAAGACCCGACATTTCATCTTGAAAGGCAAATTATACTAATAACAATAGAGTAGAGAACAACAGGTTGTTAACGCAACATATGAACAGTTATTCAGATAACTGTAGCATAAACAACAGAACATAACAACAACTTTACCAAACTCTCCATCTCACTCCAAATCACTAAATCCACTGAATTCTTCATCCTCGCTGTCACTTCTAAGCAACTCCACGACCTTCGGAGGTAAACGGAGTGCCGCTTCCTCTTCTGATGCTGTGCAGCTATGCAGCTGTCGTCAGACTCAACATCAGTACCACTTAGAACTATTCCGACCTTTCTGAATCCCAAAAGGACGGTTTCAGTTGTCACTAAAGTCCAGGCTTTGTCGATCCATCCAATGACTTCCAGGAAAGTTGCATGGTGCACCCTCCTGGTTGTTGTTGTTGTTTCTTGCTCACTTTTGGCTGCATATTTCACTACTTGCAGCTTGTAATCTGCAAAATATGATTTTCTTTTTGGGGGCATTTGTTTTCAGTCTTCTCAGTTGTCTTTACAAGTTTGTTTAAATTTTCCATTTTCAGTGGTACAGAAGTAATGGTGCGATTGACTGACATGATGCAGGCAGGACAGCAGCTCTTTCTGCTGGAGACATGCGCAGTAGAGCGAAGTGACTGTGGTACAGGAGTAATAGGAGTAGCAGATCCTGACACAAAAGCCAGAGCGCCCTCTCGCGAATGTCAGTGTGAACATTTTAATTCATAAATTGCACTAGACTATAAGTCACAGGACAACAGAAACCATGAAAAAAAGTGTGACTTTTAGTCTGAAAAATACGGTAATTCGATAATTTCAGCAATGGAATTGCCAATATCTACTGAACTAAAGGTAAAAGTAGCTGACAACTTGAAAACTACTGGTTTACTCAAACATGTGTGAAACAAAATCAAACTCCACGTATGGTTCTGAGGAGGGGCATGGCTTAAAGCTCACAAAAGTCAATTTTGTGTAATATAAGAACTTTTACATTTGCAGCAAAAAGTACTTCACAAGATATCATGGGTTAATACATTAGGAAGCCTGAGGGTAAAAATATGAATTATTAAATATAACGTTGAGCATTTGGCGGTCATTTGCCGTCCTAAGTTAAAGAACCTATTGTGAGCATACTGAAATCCAAACATTGCAGCATCCTCTGAGGCCTTTTTTGGTAAGACCAGATGAAAAATGAGCCAGGTCAAATTTTAGATTGAAAAACACAATTTCCCCAGATGATCCATGCTTGTGCTGCACCTGTCCTCCCCTAGCCCCGCCCCCAAACCTTACTCTCCACCCCCGAGCTGATGAAAGGGGCGCTACACCAAAACAAAACTGATCTAAACCTGCCTACATTTCTCTGATTATAGTGATATCATCCAAGCTGAAAAATGTCAGTCTGCTTTATATCTGCATTAAAGGTACAGACATGGTTTGATGAAAATACTCTATACTAGGTTTCAATTACAATATTATGATGGAACAGAGCATTTTAAACTTTGGAGATGCAGACAGACTAATAATGCAGGATCACTCAAACATATGTAAATGAAACAAAACACATCTCCAGGTATGTTTTTGATGAAGTAACCTTATAACATAACATGAAATCTCACATGACTCAATTTTACGTAATATAGGACCTTTAATTAAATCAAAATCCAATTGTTTCAAATCGTCATCAAAGGTATGCTTGGGTCTTTTGAACAGAGAGGTCTCCTGCCAGCACTCTGGCAGGAAAGGCATGCGGTTTGGAGCGGAGATCAGGATTTGGAGGAATAAACTGGACTATTTTTGTGTTCGGTGGAAATGATTAAAAGTCTGCTTGTTTTTGTTCATGAAATTGTTATTGAAAGACATTTTTATTTTATAGTTGAATCAAAAATGGAAACTATAAGCAAATATTATACAATTTTAATCAAAGTTCTATGATATTTTAAGCATTTTCTCCCTTGTTTACATCAAGTGTTTTCAAAAAGATCAAGAAGGCAGATTATTTACTGGAAAATATATGTCGAGAAAAAACATTAGTTACACAGTGTGCAACAGTCAATAATGAATTTTTTTTGAAAGACCAGTATTGTGACAAAATTTCACTGCTGAAAATTTGTGTTCAGGTCTAAACATAAACAAAAATGAGAAAACTAAACTAATGTTCATGACCACCACATGGGCCTGTTACAATTAGGGATGAGCATTCGATTAAATTTTCTTAATTGATCCTCCGGAGAGTTAACGATCGATTTTCGATTAATCATTAACGTTTTTAGATTAAAATTATCATCATTATTATTAATCTGCATAAATAAACTCAACTTTACAACATTACAACTGTAGAGCCACATCAGCCCATTTTGAGATCATAATTTCACATTTGTTTTACAGAAACAAAACTTAAAACTATAAGTGCTGAAAAAAACAACTCGTTCCTTGTGCGCTGATGTGTTCAGCTTCTGTCGGACTAAAGGACACAACTCAGTGGAATATGAGTGTTCTCTCTGTGACAGAGTGATGATGATGATGGTGAGTCTGTTCTGTGTGTGTCTCATTGGAGATGGTTCATGTTTTCAGAGATCAGAGGTGTGCAGGTTTAGTGCAGCTGTTTATGTTGCAATAAACGGGATACTGCGTATACATGCACCATGACAAAACTGGGATACTGATGTGAATGTAAACGCACTCATTGAAGGATACAGCGATCTCCAAGGAGGTGCCAGAGCTGAAACATGGGGCTGTGAGGCCACAGCTCCAGTGTTTGAGCTGCCTTGTCTCCTTACGCTACACTACGCACCATTCTTAATGATCAATTATTGATTAGTCGACTAATCATGCCCATTCCACAAAAATTAATATATTGACTTGCCTTTTATTATATTATACATGGAACAATACTTTTGGGGGGGTCAATATTTATCATGGGTATGTTGTCCCTACACTAGTGAGAAAATTTTGGTTAAATTTCTGTACCACCATTTGAGCTGTAGAGGCCGAATTATGAACTTCTATGACTCATTATAGAGACAAACCAACTATTGTAGGCAAGTGTTGCATTTTGGTATTTATTCTAAAAGCACAATATTGTTAAAAACAAATACTTTATTGTGGGTAATGGTGGTGGGCTTTGGTTTCAATATTATCATTATTCATTTATCTAGCTTTACTTAATTTACTTTACTACATTTACTTCAGTGATGTATCGTGTTTCATAATTTGTTATTGTGACAATCCTACCCCCACTCCCATATTTCTTATTCACACAGACAACAGAAAACCTCCATAACTCAGCTATATGAATACCCCTTTCTAAACAAACCCTGGAATTGGCAGTGCAGACAGTCATCACATTGCATTATCCCACGTATTGTCTCCCATCTATTCTCTGCGTACACCTTTGACTATCTCTCTCCTCAATCTCTATCCCCCTTCCATATATTCTGCCTGCCAATCCAGCCCCCCACCCCCCCGCCTGCTCGGGCCCACTCGGATCAATGGAGCTGGATTTCAGTAATCTCTCATTTGACATCTGAGTCGCCATGGAGACTTCAATCTGGAACCACCAAATAGATAGAGAATTTCACTGTGCGGCGATGTCCATTCAAATCTACTGTGTCGCATAGGCTGCACCCGGATCATCTTTTTATCTCATCTCTCTTGTCAATCCCCCAATGGGCCCTGACTGCATTCATAAATAATGCACCAAAAAGCTAGCCACAATCGCTCCACCCCTTGTCCCCTGTTGTCAACTATGGACTAAAAACAGCAGGCATTTTATTAGCGTGGTGAAAAATCAAGCATGGCAGAAAATTAATGAGAAATACCTGGAAACGTGTTGAGGAGAATGAGGTGTTGAAAATGAATTTGTCTAATTGAGGATCGGTTTGTATGGGCACAGTGCTGTGGTGGTGGAGTGTTAAACAGGAAACGTTCACTTACCATGTAGAAATAGGAGAGACAACAACCGATGGTCCAGAATACAGAGCCCGTTTTCACAGACTTCACCTGCGAGACAAAAAAGGAGAAATATTACTTAATTGACAGCTTCAGTTAAATGGTGCCATTATGAGGACAGTTGACTATTCCAAAAATATATATTTTCAGTTGTTACTTGTCATGGTAACGTTCTGTCATTCTGAAACCCATGGATAAATCTAAGGCAAAGGACAGAATTTAATTACATTTTTGCAGTTTGTGGTCTGCAAAACAGCACCCGGAAACCACACCGTTAGCACGACTACTTCCTGTCGAATTGTGAATCTACTTTTTTTTTTGCTGAGTTGTGCTAAAATGACTAAATATTTAAACATAAGGCATTGGAATGTGAGCTGTGGGTGGATGTCACTCACAATATGTTAAAAAGTACACAAATAAAATGAATACTTTAGGAGAGGACACTTCTGTATTTACAAAGACAGATATTTGTGTCTCAGTGCTAACACTAATGTTAATTTTGAGGCATAAAAAAAAACACAACCACAAACTGAAGTACTGTAAACATAAAAACAATTGGGAAATCTTGACTATAATTAAAATTTTAGTAGATTATTTGATATTTTATGATTTTAATAAAAGTGACTAAAAGTGTTGGCTTTGAGACAGTGAGCTATCTAGCGTGCTGTTGTGCACAAAGCCAGTTGTCCAGGGTGTATTTGTTTCTCACACATTTAAAGCTGGGATTCTCTGCACCAGGCCACCCACAAGACACCGACAAGGAAGAGATAGAAGGACTTCTTTAGAGAATCGTCTTCTGTCTTTGTTCCTTTTAGGGAGAAGTGACTTTATGCTTCTAAACAAGAAGTACTTCTATTTTCAAACGCTGCCTGGTCTCAGATGCTGAATAATTTATCCTGAGCCTTGAAAGCCAAACTGGGCAGTCGCGTGGATCCTGGAAACGGCACAATAACATGACCTTTAAAAGCAGGAGTGAAATTTAAAAGAGTCATCCTTCTTCAATGGAAGGAAGAAAACTGGCTTCGGAACCCAACTCGGAGCTAACCTTGGTTTGGAGTTTGCATTGCTTTGAAAATTTAGTTTTAAGTCTTTATTTTTTGTGTCTTATTTCAAAATGCTTCCATGTTCATCGCAGAACTTGTCCTTGAGCTGAAAGAAATGGTTATGATAAAAACATACCAAAAATAAACTCGATCAAAATATACTTTATTGTAAAATTTGCAAAAGGCAGTGAAATATTACATATGATTAGTGCTCACTATATGACATTAAACAGCTCTACCTCACATTTATTCCATTACAGGTGCTTTTATAGATTCAAAACAGGGTCACCTCTCCACAGATCTGACCTGTAACTTGGTCTGGTCTGGTCTTCCATGACAACAGAAAAGTTTTAAACACTGAAACGTTCCACACAAAGCAATAACACCTCCATGGAGACTCACCCTCCACCAGAAAAGTTACATAATGCATCTTTAAGGTTACGGTTATGGTGCGTTTTATTAACTGCGCAGAGAAATGTGTCCCTGTATTTGATGCATCCTTCAATGCCTTTGGGGTAAATGTCAGGAGTGAGACCGTCTCCAGATCTTGAGAAAAGCTTGGTGAATACAGTACGCTGGAGGATTTGACCTTTTGTGAATGTTTTGGGGTTTTGGGCATGTTTTTCTGAAATGCTTTCAAAAATATTGCTTTCTTTACAGGGCTTTCCATGACCGCAGATATTCAAGCTTAATACTTGAAAGGCTCTAATTAAAACTGCACCAGTAAGAAAAAGAAAAATTTACTTAGGGCTATCCAACCTTTGTTCTTAGCAAAAACAGCTTTGATTTTTGCCAAATGTATCTTTAATCATGCCCAAAAACAAATTATTTCAAATTAACGAACTACTGTTCCAATGGGATCATATTTTGTATATTACAATCAATATTATGAGCCATCCTGTATCTCTGAATGTGTCTTGTCTTTCATTAAAATTAAAAACTTTTAACTTCAAACCATTTCTGAGCCTCCACTAAACCTTTCTTCATTATTGGTGTTAACCTTAATCACATTAAATGCTTTTCTCCACCATTCAGCCTGTTATCAGAGGAAATTACAGACTGATGCTTCTACTTTGAATACATTTAAATTTGCTGGTGAAAAGAGATCCATTAGGAGTTTTGTGTTTCAATATATTTTACATAATACAGTATAATAGTCAGTGGTGATCCCTTAGTGAGAGGATTTTCAATGACCTAGATACAAGCACAAACGTGTCCAGTGTCTGATATAAAGCCAATCTGTACAGAAGGATCCATTTCACTGCCAGAAGAGTGACCATTGTTTACCCATTGAAACAAGCCAATCAATAAAGCCATATGTTTTATCATATAGGCCTAAATTACTTGTTTTATTAAATTTTTTCATGGATTTAAATTAGTCAATAGTCCCAGCATCCCATCATCATTCTAGGGATGGTTATTTGGTTAATCAAAAACTGGATTATTTAGGTTTCAGTGTAAGAACTAAAACTGAAAGGTGCACTATTCATCTCTCTGGTGGAGGCAAATTCTGGCAGCTTGTCATTATGGAAATGTTATTGCTTGATCTAGAATAGGGATGGGCATGATTAGTTGACTTGATAATTGATCTTTAAAAATGAACATGATCAACAAAATTCTTAATCGACAAACCGAATGTAGGTTGCTGTGCGAAGCGTAAGGAGACGAGGCTGCGTCTGACAGCACAAACAGGGGAGTTGCGGCCTCACAGTCCCATGTTTCGGCTCTGGCACACCTCCTTGGAGATCACTATATCCCTCAATGAGTGCGTTTACATGCAGTATCAGTATCCCACTTATAATCAAGTTTTTTGAGTATCCTGGTTTCGTCATTGTGCATGTATAAGCAGTATGCCTGCGCACTCAACTGTGGTTACTACCACAGTTAAGGGTGCATGTGTCCAAAAGACAATTTTCAGTCTTTTCATCACAACAGTACCTAAAATAAATAAAGTGACCAACATAAAGTGAGAAATGACTATTAAATAAAGAGCTGCACCAAGAGCTAAAAGCAGTGCTTTTAGTTTATGCAAATGAGCCATGTGGTTTTAAGTAACATAAACATGTGTGTCAAAGCTGCATTAAATACATTATCATCTCAAACGGGCTGATGTGGCTCTATCGTAGTTATGGTTTATGTGTTGTAAAGTTGAGTTTAATTATGGAGATTAGTAACAGCAATAATAATGATGATAATTTTAATATAAAAACATTAATGATTAATCTAAAATTGATTGTTAATTCTCCTGAAGATCGATTAAGAAAAATCAAATGCTCATCCCTAGTCTAGAATGTCCCACAATATGGCATTAAACTAATCTTTTTCCTTGGAGACAAGCCCACAATGCTACCAGGCCAAGTTACAGGTCAGATCTATGGAGAGCCGAGACCATTCACAGTAGGAATGCAGGTTTTTCAATGTATTTTGGGGCAATGAAACACTTGCAATTGAATAAATGCTACATAAATACGTTAAATGCTATACTGTGACACCTGTGACAAAGCAACAATATCTCCATGGAAACAGGCTTGTGGTGGACCTCCTACCAGAAAAGTTACACACTGCACTTTTAATTTTCTTGAAGCTTTTAAGAACAAAAATAAGCTCAAACCAATCTATACGTCCCAATAGTCAATGGGCCAGAAAAGTCCCATATCTAAGCTTTACATTTTACAAGAAAGTAAACTTAAATGTGCCTTTTATCTGTCTTTTTATGCCCTATTAACTTTACTCTGGTCATATATTAGGCGGATGGTATTCTATTAGACACCGAATACAAGCAAACTAAGGATTTCACAGTTGTTGGGTTATAGTGTCAATTATACTGAACAATCGCAGAACTGTGCCGGAAAATTTGAGCTTTCCTGTGTTAGATTAATAACCCTCTCATCCCAGTAGTCAGAGAAAAGCCATATAAAAACAGTTTGATGGAACCAATGTGGTGCTGACTGTGCCGTTATCCATGCATAATCTGCACTGCCTTCATCTACTGTGGCATTTACTTTTTGTTCAGTAAAGATTGGAAATTCCAGGGCTGATATTATCTAAATGATTCTTTCTAGTGAAGGTGTATAAGTTTAGGAATTTAAAAACACAGTGCAGCACTTCCTCTATCGGTTTGAGAGAAGAACTTAGCCTAAATATGCAGCTTTTGTGTGTGTAAACATGTGGGAATGAAACAAAACACAACTCCAGGCATGTTTTTGATGAGGAAACAACACTATAACATCAGAAAACAGCATATATGGGCCTTTAAAAGTAAACAGAAGTAGATGGAGGTGCATCCCACATCTGTAGCAGCGATTGTTTCATTTTTTTTCCGTTAATGAAAACTCCAGAGGATCGAACCCCATAATATCACTGTCACTCAGAAGTTTTCTTGGTTTTTCTCAAGCCATTTAATTCGGTCTCGTCTTGCTGACTCGGAAATAATTTTCTGTTGTGTGAAATTGCCTTGTGTTTCAGTGGAACATAAACACGTTTCATTTGGCCAATTACTTCTATTTGTGGAGGGAGCTGCACCTGTGCAACCATTTAGCCTGTAATGGAGCAGGTGTCTGATGCACTGAGCCGTATGGGAGCTGTATGCACCAAAAGTTTCAGCGCATTGCAAATACACGTCTGATACTAGTACATACAATATTTAAGAGCAGGGAAGTTAACCTAGATTCAGAGGAAGATGTATTGTTTACAATAGATCAGATTAGGGCTTTGTGTCACATTTTTTTGTATGAAAATCGCTCTATAAATAAAGTTTGATTGATTGATTGGTTGATTAGTTGACATTTTAAAGTTTGTGTTGATCGTGTGGAGAGAAGGGTGGGGTGTGGGAGGATTTTATTTTGATTTGTTTTGATTTTTGTTAATTTTATAATTTGTAATTTAATATATTTATTTTTGTTTTGTTAAATATTAAAATTTAGATTTGGTTAAAGGTGCACTATGTAACAAATAAAAAAAAAAAAAAGGTTATTATCCATTTTATTCCTATGCTCCTAAACTGCGTTT